GCCCATACTGCTGCAGGATAAACTTCCTGCTGCAGCTGAACAGCTGAACAGCTGATCAGCGTGCAGAGCAGAGAAGTGGGCGTGGCCAAGAGCGCTTGCATGTGTCTAAAATGCCTTAATATACTGTATATAATATATAAATAATAAAATAAACTATTACTTACTAGTTGTACTACTATTCCTACTTCACGGTTTTTCACTTATCGCTTGGCTTCAGGGTACAGATCCACCGCTATAAACAAGGGACTACTGTACCAAATTTGGTGCTTTTATCATAAAATGGAAGATTTTCGAGCCTAGAGCCTCTACTAGGGCAGCACGGTGGTGCAGTTGGTAGAAATGTCGCCTCTCAGTGAGCAGGTTATCCCTGTTCAAATCCCAGCCGGGGGACTTTCTGGATGGAGTTTGCATGTACTCTCCGTGCATGCGTGGGTTTTCTCTGGGTACTCCGGTTTCCTCCCACAGACCAAAAACATGCATGTTAGGCTGATTGGTAACTCTAAATTGTCCCTAGGTGTGAGTGAGAGAGTGAATGGTTGTTTGTCTCGTTTGTCTCAATGTGTCCTTGTGATTGACTGGAGACCTGTCCAGGGTGTATCCCGCCTCTCGCACAGTGATTGCTGGACATGGACACCAGTAATCCCTGTGACCTGAAAAAAAATAATCGGGTAAAGACACCAAAGTTCATGCTCAATAATCCAGGTATAAAATCCAACAATGTTCAGTCAGGTCATCTGGATGGTTTCTTATGTGTGCTGAGACGTTTCATCCGTCATTCAACGCCATCCTCTACTATTACATTTCAGAAAGAATGGTTGTTTTATACATTAATGATTGTTTAATGATCATTTTGCTGTTTTGATGACTTATCCAGACAGCACTGAGTGCATCCTCAACACATGGTGGTAACACCTAAACACATGGGCTGTTGTTGGTTCGTGTCACACAATGTAATGCCTTAATAACGGTTTCAATGTCGGTGTTTGTTGTGCTTCTCCACCCCCACCCCCCACCCCCAGAAAGAAACGCCTCTGGCCAATGCTGTGTTCTGGGCAGCAAGGAAGGGAAACTTGGCTCTGGTGCAGCTGCTGCTCAACAGCGGGCGAATGGATGCTGACTGCAGAGACAGTGTACGGACGCTGCATGTCCTGGCTGCTCAGCTGCATGCTTTACCCATTACCCACCTGTGGTAGGGACATGGAGAGCTTTGAGTATCACCTGTGTGAAGCATATGTGTGTGTGTGTGTGTGTGTGTGTGTGTCCTTGTTTATGCTACTTTGTGAGGCCCATTTTTCCAACTTATACTACATTGTGGGGACCAACTGCTCCTTATGGGGCCCAAAGCCCGGGCCCCATAAGAAGTCCTGTTGGTGGGTTAGGGGCTAGGTTTAGGACTAAGGTGTGAATTGAGGATGTGTTAGGTTTAGGGTTAGGTATGTACTGGTAATGGTTAGGTTATGGATAAAGGTCATGGTTAGGCTATAGAAATGAATGAAAAATGAATGGAAGTCAATGCAAAGGCCCCACAAAGATAGCAAAACAAACCTGTGTGTGTGTGTGTGTGTGTGTGTGTGTGTGTGTGTGTGTGTGTGTTGCCATGAGCACATTATAAGAACTAAGATAAGACTGAAATGGCACAAAACAATCAAAAGTAATGCAGATTTTGCTTCATGTTCAATAATTTTACATTTTTGCCCTTTTTTGTTTCATCTTGGTACAATTTGTGGTAATTTTGTCTTTTTGTCGCCATTTTGCATATTGTTATATTAACCTTTATTAAACCAGGCAAATCCATTGAGATCACGGATCTCGATCCCAATGGAGGCATTTGCATTACATGTTTCATTTATGTGACGTGTTTGATCAGGGATTGATTTTTTTTCTTGCACCTTTTTATTGCATTTTGCTCGTTCACGTCGCCACGTAACAATTGTCTGTAGCTTTGATATTATTTTTACATTTTAATGATTGTTCATCTTTTTATAGCCATTTAAAAAAACATATTTCTTGATGCTAGTTTTGTGTTCCATACTGCCTATTCTTTTTTATTGATATTTTACATCTTTTTGGTTTAGATGAGTTGTTAAAGCAGTCGTCCTCCAACGCAAGAGTTGGGGGTTCGATTCCACCAGCAGTCACGTGCCGAAGTGTCCCTGGGCAAGACACTGAACTCCTCATTGCCTCTGATGTGTGTCCCATCGGTGTATGAATGTGATAAAGCTCTGATTATTCTTTGTACAGATCTGGTAGAGTGCTGTATGAATGGGTAAATGAGGTACAGGTTGTAGTGTAAAGCACTTTGAGTATCTTGATAAGATAGAAAGTTGCTGTATAAGTGCAGTCCATTTACCATTTACCCAGTGCCAGCTCATATGTTCTGTTTCTTAATAATGTTTTTATTGTTTTATTGTTTTTATTGTATTGTTTTGTGTATTTTCTCTTAAACTATTTTTAGGAAAATAAAGTATTTTGAGGCACAGTGTTTGAAAGGCATCTTTAATACTCTACCTGTGGCCAGCATACAACCTTATCTTTTGCTTTATTATAATTGAGATTGAGACTCACATGCAGCAGACCAGCAGAGTTTAGTGAACTCATTAGTGAGGCTGTGGGAGGCTGCGGGTTTGAGCCCAGATGGTGTCAGCAGTTGCCAAATATTTCATGCGAGTTTGCTGACTGTGGTGACCACTGCAGAAAAGAGAAGCCAATTTTTTTTTTTTTACATTTTAATCACTTCTAAGAAAGTTATGTCATACAATAAGAACAGGTCTTACATTTTGCTTGTTTCTTTCCAGTACGGCACAACAGCACTGATGGTGGCGTCATACAGCGGCCATTATGACTGTGTGAAAGAGCTCATCATGCAAGGAGCAGACATTAACTACCAGAGAGAGGTAAAATGTACTTTTATTTTCTACTGACTGCATTTGGAGTCCTTTAAGGGTTTTGTCCATAGAGGTAGTATGCTACAAACCCTTAAACACACCAAATGTTCACTTTAGGTTTTTGGTTGGTGTTTATTAGTGGTCTTCCCAGGTAAAGGGTTTTATTTATATAAGCAACATCAAGATAGCTGTAATCTCATTTTTTCTGCTTTAGTGCTGAGCTAAAAAAAAAAGGCCTATTTCAGCAGCAAATCTGTCTCCAAGAAATATGACAAAAACTATTCCTGTGAAATTAAAACACCTGCAATTATCAAGCTCAACTCATTTACTGTCGTTTCCATCACATGCGGCATATGAGGTGGAACGAAATTATGTACTGAGGGTCCCCGTTACATTCAACAACAGCAAAAAATATAAAGAATAAAAAGAAACAGTATATAAGGATCTAAGATATACACTAAACAAACGCCCAACAGTACACTAAAAGATCTAAGATATATACTAAACACTAATAATGTGAAACAATACGGCTTAACAGCAGCAGCCCAAACCTGAGTCTGTGGTGAGCAGATTGGTATGAATGAATACAGCAGCATGAGATAATCAGCAGCATGAGATCAGCAGTGCATCTAAGTCACATATCACCAATTAAAGTGGCATTACAGTGATTTTCGGGGGTGGGGGGTGGGGGGGGGGGTTCTTACAGGGATTATCCTTGTTACACTTGTTTGTGTAAACAATTTCATTCCACTTTATGTACCACATGTGATGTGAATGACAATAACTTGACTTGATTTATGAGTCTAACAGCTTCAGAGTAGAAGCTGTTCCTCAGCTAGTGGTTCTACACTTAATGCTCCTCAACCTCCTCAACCATTCTTGTTATAGTAAACAGTAGTTTATCCACTGGTGTGGTGTCAAAAACCTTTAAACATGCTGCTGTCCAGCCTCTCCTGAAAAAACCAAACCTTTACCCCTCAGTCATATCCAACTACTGGCCTGTCTCCAAACTCCCATTTGTTTCTAAACTACTGGAGAAAATAGTCGAGTCCCAGTTGAAGTGCTTCCTGGAGGATCACGCTATCCTAGAGCTATTCCAATCTGGCTTTAAACCTCTCCACAGCACTGAAACTGCCCTGCTGAAGGTTTTTAATGACATCTTCATATCCACAGATACTGGTGATTTTGTGCTGCTTGTTTGTTGGACCTCACAGCCACCTTTGACACCATCGACCATGAGATCCTCATTGCTAGGTTGGAGCAGTGGGTGGGCATCACAGGGTCAGCCCTCAATTGGTTCAGATCTTACCTCGCTGACAGATCCTTTTGTGTCTCCATCAAGGATTTTAGTTCTTCAGCGACAAAGCTTAAATGGGGGGTTCCACAGGGGTCCATCCTGGGGCCCCTCCTATTCTCTTTATACCTGCTGCCACTTGGTGCTATTTTCCGGAAACACAACATGCCCTTCCACCTCTATGCCGATGACTGTCAAATGTACTTCCCCCTAAGACACAATGGTACATGCTCTATTCAACCTCTGCTCGACTGCCTGGCTGACATCAGGGACTGGATGGCTTTAAACTTCTTAAGTTTCAATGAAAAGAAGTCTGAAGTCATTTTGTTCCCTTCCAACGACACAATCACAAACCACTGCATCGACCTCTCCACTCTATCCCTGTCAGAAAAACAAAGAGTCACTAATCTGGGCGTGATAATGGACCCTTCCCTGAAACTTAACAATCATGTAAACATGATTGTTAAATCATGTTTCTTCCAACTGAGGCGGTTGTCTAAACTGAAGCCCATATTGTCCAAAAATAACCTGGAGACAGTAATACACACATTCATTACATCTAGGCTTGATTACTGCAATTCACTCCTGTGTGGTATCAGTCAGACCTCCATTGCACGACTACAACTGGTCCGGAATGCAGCAGCCCAATTTTTAACCAGTACAGGCAAAAGAGAACACATTACACCAGTTTTGGCCTCACTGCACTGGTTACCAGTTCACTTTCGAATCCAGTTCAAAATACTCATGTATGTCTACAAATTGCTGAACAGTTTTGCCCCACTATCTCTCTGATTTGCTACAACCGTATGTCCCTTCACGTTCCCCGAGGTCAGCGAACCAATTGCTCCTCACAGTTCCAGGAACTCGTCTTAAGCGCAGAGGTGACAGGGCCTTCTCTGTAGCAGGACCAAGACTCTGGAACGAGTTACCTCTGCTTGTCAGACAGGCCCCCTCCCTCTCGGTTTTCAAATCCCGTTTAAAAACCCACTACTATTCAGTAGCTTTCAACACTAGATGATCTGTGTTTTGAACCTGTATGCTCCACACTGGTTTGTCGTCATTATCTGCATCGTTTTTATGTCTATATTCTGATTTACTTCATTTTGTATATTGCTTTGTGTGTTGTCTGTTGTTCTGTCTGTACAGCACTTTGGTTGACCTTGTCGCTGTTTTAAGTGCTCTATAAATAAAATGGTATGGTATGGGTTTGGTATGGTATGGTAACCTCCTTCCTGGGGAGTGCAGGGCAAAAAGTGTGTGCTGGGTGAGTGGGGTCCTTCATGATGCAGGTGGCCCTCTTCCTGCGTTTGGAGGTGTAGTAGTCTGTGATGGTGGGGAGACTGACTCCAACAGACTTCTGTGCAGCCTTCACCACTCTTACAGCTTTATGTCTGAAAGGTTCTATTTTTAAACCAAAAATATCTTAAAATAACTTGGGATTAAGGTTATAAGCTGTTTGATAAGATTTGTTAATAACACTAGTGATTTGATAAAGAAAGAGGAGTGGGGGCGCAGAGGTTAGAGAAGCTGAGCCTGTGACTGGAAGGTCGTCGATTCAACTCCCTGTCCAGATAACATCAAAATGTGGGTGGGAAAGGTGAAAGTCCCACACCTGCCTCCACCCTCATTTGTCCCACTCTGGGCCCTTGAGCAAGGCACTTAACCCCCACCATCTGCTCCCCGGGCACCCTAAATATCAGCTCTCTGCTCCACACAGAGGGCTGTGGTAGCTCGGTGGTCTGTGGTTGTGTCATGAAGGGTATTCGGCATAAGAAAAATTGCAAAGTCTTTGTATGAGTTAGTTCACTGCGGTGACCCCTGAAGAAGGGAGCAGCCTAAAGAAGAAGAAAAAAAGTGAATTACTAAAGAAAATCCACTTGAATTTGTTTAGTAGCTACACACTTTTTGTTGTAGTTCTTATTTTGAGTATCAAAGGTCATGTTCAGTATCAGGAAAACATCTGTATCTATTTTTATCATTCTTTCCAGACAGGTTCGACAGCTTTGTTCTTCGCCTCCCAGCAGGGACATCATGACGTTGTGAAGCTCCTTTTTGAGTTTGGTGCCTCCACTGAATTCCACACAAAGGTAGGGTGTTGGGGTGTTTATCTTGCTCTTCAGCTGTCAGGATGTAAAAGATAAAAGAATGCCAAAATGGTTTCATTGCAGAATAGACCTTTTTTTTAAAACGCACTGTTTCTGCAGCTTTTGCCTCTCCATTTGAATACTTTTCAATAAATTGTAGTCTTGTTTTCTGACAGGATGGCGGCACAGCTCTCACTGTTGCCTCCCAGTACGGTCACTCCAAGGTAGTGGACATCTTGCTGAAAAACGGAGCCAACATCCATGACCGGCTGAATGTAAGGGCCTTTGCATCCACACCTGCAGCCTGCTGTTAAACCTCTCCCTCCTCACTGTCAGTACCCTTTAAGGTTGTATGTTAAAATCCTTCTTTTATCTCGTGTTTAGCCCTAGCTATACTGCTGTCTCTGATCCTGTAAACCTTGACTCTCTTGAGCCTTATCTTAAGCAGTCTGTTACAAATCTTAGGATGGTTTTAGACTCTGACTTTAAGTTTAATAAACAAATTAACTCTGTTCTGCAGAAAAGCTTCTTAAAGTTAAGGCAGATACTGTAGCTAAGCTTAAATCCACGTTGACCAGATCTGACCTTGAAAAAATGCACTGCCTGGCCAAAAAAGTTGCCACCTGAATTTAACTAAGCAAATAGGTACGAGCCTCCTATTGGATAATTACTGCATGGGTGATTATTTTTCAGCTGGAAACAAGTTATTGAACCCAATTGGTGCAATGAGTTGCTTCTCATTTCTTAAAAAAACCATGTCAAAGACATTGTGTGGTCATGGAAAAGATGTCAGTCTGTTTGAGAAGGGTCAAATCGTTGGCATCCATCAAGCAGAGAAAACATCTAAGGAGATTGCAGAAACTACTAAAACTGGGTTAAGAACTGTCCAATGCATTATTAAAAACTGGAAGGATAGTGGGGACCCATCGTCTTCGAGGAAGAAATGTGGCCGGAAAAAAATGTGGCCTACTGTACAAGCCTGTGGGGGCAGTGCTATGATGTGGGGTTGCTGCAGTTGGTCAGGTCTAGGTTCAGCAACAGTATGTGTTCAAAGAATGAGGTCAGCTGACTACCTGAATATACTGAATGACCAGGATATTCCATCAATGGATTTTTTTTCTTCCCTGATGGCACGAACATATTCCAAGATAACAATGCCTGGATTCATCGGGCTCGGATTGCGAAATAGTGGTTCTGGGAGCATGAGACATCATTCTCACACATGGATTGGTCACCACAGAGTTCAGAACTTAACCCCATTGAGAATCTTTGGGATGTGTTGGAGAAGGCTTTGCGCAGTGATCAGAATCTGCCATCATCAATGCAAGATCTTGATGAAAAATTAATGCAACATTGGATGGAAATAGATCTTGTGACATTGCAGAAGCTTATCGAAACAATGCCACAGTGAATGCATGCCATAATCAAAGCTAAAGGCATTCCAACAAAATATTAGTGTGTGACCATTTTTTTTTTGGTGGCAACTTTTTTTTTTTGGCCAGGCAGTGTAGTCTATGCATTTGTTACAACCCAGCTGGACTGCTGTAACACTCTTTATGGTGGGGTCAGTCAGGTGTCCCTTTCACGTCTCCAGCTCATCCAAAATGCTGCAGCTCAGCTATTAACAGGAACTCGTAGGTTTGAGCTCATTTCACCAGTCCTGTCCTCCCTGTACTAATCAGAATAGATTTTAAAAATGTCCTGCTAATCTTTCAGTGCATTAATGTCCTTGCACCCTCGTATCACTCTGACCTACTTCAACCATATGTTTCTTCTCGGGTGCTGAGATCATCTGACCTGCTGCTTTTGGTTGTACCAAAAACAGAGGAGATCAGACTTTTTCAGTCATGGGCCCTAAATTCTGGAACAATCTGCTCCTCAACATTAGACAGTCCACTTCGCTTCCTGTTTTTAAATCCCTCCTAAAAACACACCTGTTTTCTCTGACGTTTAACCCAGTGTGATCTGATTTAGTATTTTATTGTTTTGTGTTTTGTATTTTTCTTTTGATGCTTTTAATTAATTTTTGTTAATATTTGTCTTTAAATTGCTGCCATTGATTTTTATTGTTAAGCACTTTGGTACTTTATAAATAAATTTGTCTTGACTTGTTGTCAGTCAGGAACCTGATAAACACAATGTAGCAGGAATCCAACCTCTCAGGTTACTGCAGACTGCTGAGCCATGCATGAATCACCTTGAGCAGGATTAGTGTGCGCCTGAAGAAAACAACCTGACTGTGCAGAAGTGTATTTATAAATAGGAGTAATAAACTAATGTATTATCAGTGCATTTAACTCTAGTTTTGCTACAACAGTAAGAACAGCATCAATTTATCCTCAACCTTTTAGGATGGTGCTACACCTCTTTTCCTTGCTGCCCAGGAGGGTCATGTGACCGTGATCCGTCAGCTGCTGACATCCGGTGCCAAGGTGAACCAAGCCAGGGAGGTAAAGGATGCAGATCTCACCTTTTTTGTGACCTCCTCCCTGATAAAACGCATGCTGTTTTCATATCTTTTGTCATTTCATGTTCAGACTGAACTGATTTAGTTGCATGTCAGTTGAATTACAAATTATGTCTACATTTACAGCCAACAGCACAAAACATGTTTTTGTGCCCAGTGGAAAATAGTTGATCGAGGTGAACAGTGGGTGGATCCAGTTGTCCTGTCGTTAACTGCAGCAGAAGACATCACAATATGATAGAAAGAAAGGCAAACTCAAAAAAAGTACAATAAAAAAACGAAAGCTTTGAACTATCAATATATGTATACAGTAGTCCCTCACAACCTCGTGGTTCGTTTTTCGTGGACTCGCTCTATTGCGGTTTTTCAAAATAAGATTGGACATGACACATAATTGGCTGATGGATTAGCTGCATGATCGGCATGGATTTTTTAATTTAAAATAAATTGTTTAAATTTATTTAGCACCTGTGTGCAGCCCACAGCTGTGGGATAACTTCCTCCTGCAGCTGATCAGCTGATCTCCGTGCAGAGCGGAGAAGTGGGTATGGCCAAGCGCAGAGTGCAGCCGAGGCAGAGAGATGAAATCATGACAGTCCGTGCTGTTTTAGCGCGTTTAGAGTTTAGAAATATTGTTTAGAATACAGCAGTCCCTTGCTGTTTGGCAGTTCATTTTTCGTGGACTCGCTCTATCACGGTTTTTCAAAATAAGATTGGACATGACACACAATTGGCTGACTGATGGATGAGCTGCACGATCGACATAGAATTTTTATTTTAAATTATTTAGCACCTGCTGCACCTGTGTGCAGCCCACACTGCAGGAGAAGCTTCTTCCTGCAGCTCCTCCTCCCTCCTCCTTCCTCCTCTGTCGATCTCCGTTCTGCAGTGGAGGAGTGGGCGCGGCCGTGGCAGAGAGGAGTCAGAGAGCTGAAATTATGACATTCTGTGCTCTTTTAGAATGTTTAGAGTTTAGAAACATTATTTAGAATATTGCAAGAGTTTGGGAAGGGTTTAAAATGCATTTATATGTTTATATAAATACTAAAATAAACTACTACTTACTACTTGTACTACTATTCCTACTTTGCGGTTTTTTACTTATCGCGGGGCTTCAGGGTACAGATCCCCTGCGATAAACGAGGGACTACTGTATCTGTTTTACTTTCTGTACTCCTTTTTCTCAGTATACTAATTTTGCAGCTCTTTTTTCTCAGTATTATACTAGTTTTCACTGATTTTTCTTTAATTCAATCCCTAACTTCAAGCTGACATGGAAGGACACATGTGCTTATCATCTTCGTCCTTTACCTTCTGAATTAGAAAGATTAATCTGTCTTTTGGCAATCAGAAGGATGATTGGTTTCTTCAGTTTCTTCATTCCCACGTCTTCTTAGAGCTGCATTTATGCAGTCATGGTGTGTGACTGTGTGCATGACATAGAAGACAAAAACTCCATGTGTAGACTGAGAAGTGATTCATGTTTTTCTGTAAATGTCATTTAAGGTATATTTTTTTAGCTCAACAAGAGTAGATCAAAACTACATTCATGTCTTTGTTTGCATTTGCTACAATGATGATTTGGGCATAACGCAGGCTTTTTCTAAGTCTAGATTTTGGTCTCTTGCTTCTGCCTCCTAATCTGTGCACTCTCCAGGACGGCACCGCTCCCTTGTGGATGGCAGCTCAGATGGGTCACAGTGAGGTGGTGAAGGTACTTCTCTTACGTGGAGCAGATCGGGATGCTGACAGACTAGTAAGTCAAAGCTTTTGAACTGATGGACTAAAAAGTGGATATGATAGGATTATTTATTTATTCATCTAAGGAAAGTGTTCATCCTAAAATTTCTTTAAACCTTGTTGGAAAAAGTCATGAGGTTTATGAAAGGTGGTTGGAGAGATTAGGCTGTGATGTAACTCTGGAGCAACAAACAGGATTCTGTCTAATCCAGTCTCATGTTGCGTTGCAAGAGTTTCTGTGTACATTTTTTTTTATATTAGCATATCCATCCATCCATTATCTTCCGTTTGTTCTGAAGTCAGATCGCAGGGGCAGAGGTTGAGCAGGGAGGCCCAGACGTCTCTTTCCACATCCACCTCTTCCAGCACTTCTGGGAGGATTCCAAGGTGTTCCCAGGCCAATTGAGACACATAGTCTCTCCTGTGTGTCCTAGGTCTTCCCCAGGGTCTCATCCCAGTTGGACATGCCTGAAGCACCTCCCTAGGGAGGCGTCCAGAGAGCATCCTTACCAGATGCCCCAACCAACTCAACTGGCTCCTTTCGATGTGGAGGAGTAGCTGTTCTACTTTGAGTCACTCCCCGATAACTGAACTTCTCATCCTATCTCTAAGGGAGAGTCCAGCTACCCTGCAGAGGAAACTTATTTCAAACACCTGTATCCACAATCTCATTCTTTCGGTCACTACCCAGAGCTTGTGACCATAGGTGAGGGTAGGAACGTAGACTGACCAGTAAACAAAGAGCTTTGCCTTACAGCTCAGCTCCCTCTTCACCAAAACGAACTGGTGCACCAATCAGTCAATCAATCTCAAGCTCCATTCTTCCCTCACTCATGAACAAAACCCAGAGATACTTGAACTTCTCCATTTGAGGCAGAACCTCCCTCTTTTCCAACTGAGTCAGAGAGTCAGAGTTTCCTTGTTGTCATTTGCACCACGTGGTACATGTGGTGGAACAAGTTTGTGTACTCAGGGTCCCAGTTACATCCCACAATAAAATGTAAAGAAAAACAGTAATATGATCTAAGATATGAACTAAGAAAAACATCAACTAAATATACTCTAAGCACTAATGGCATAAAAACAATACGCCAAACAGCAGCACGAACATGAGTCTGTGTGAACAGATGAGTACGAACGAACACAGCAACATGAAACAGATCAGCAGCAACATGATGCAATTTTCCTGGTTAGAGATTCATGAGTCTAACAACCTCAGGGTAGAAGCTGTTCCTCAGTCTAGTGGTTCTACACTTAATGCTCCTCAACCTCCTTCCTGAGGGGAGTGGGGCAAAAAGTGTGTGTGCTGGGTGAGTGGGGTCCTTCATGATGCAGGTGGCCCTCTTCCTGCATCTAGAGGTGTAGATGTCTGTGATGGTGGGGAGGCTGACTCCAACAATCTTCTGTGCAGCCTTCACCACTCTCTACAAAGCTTTTCTTTCTGCAGCTGTGCAGCCTCCATGCCACACGTTGATGCTGGAGCACAGGATGCTCTCCACTGCACACCTGTAGAAGGAGGTGAGGACTGAGCTTCTCAGTCCAGCTCGTCTCAGCCGTCTGAGGAAGTAGAGTCTCTGATGAGCTTTCTTGATCAGACTGGTGGTGTTGTTGCCCCAGCTGAGGTTGTTGTTCATGTGTACACCCAAGTACTTGTACTTTGTAGCTGGAGACCACTTCCACCGCAGATCCTCCTATGTTCATGGGGGTGGGGGTAGTAGGCGTGTTTGTTCCTTCCGAAGTCCACGACCATCTCCTTTGTCTTCACATTAATGTGAAAGTTATTCTCTTTGCACCAGCTCTCCAGGTGTTTCGCCTCCTGCCTGTAGCTGGACTCATCATTGTTTGTGATGCATCCCACCACCGCTGTATCATTTGCAAACTTTACAATGTGACAGCCTGGATGGGTAGCTGCACAATCATATGTGAGCAGAGTAAACAGGAGAGGGCTCAGCACACAGCCCTGAGGGGAGCCAGTGCTGAGGGTTATCGTGGAGGAGGAGAAGTTGTGGATCCTCATGGACTGCAGTCTGTTAAGAAGTCTAGGACCCAGTTGCAAATGGAGGGGCTCAGTCCTAGTGTGAGTAGTTTACCCATCAGGGTTTGAGGAATCATGGTATTGAAGGCAGACGTGAAGTGCACAAAGATCATATGGACGTAGGAGTCCTTCTGCTCCGTGTGGGTGAAGCAGTCTGGACCACAGAGGAGATGTCGATTAGCATATGTAAAATTAAATTTAGTTATCTAGGCTGACAATTAGTGGAATGGTGGCGCAGTTGGTAGAGCTACTGCCTCTCAGCGAGCAGATTGCCCTGGTTCAAATCCCGGTCAGGGGGTCTTTCTTGGTGGAGTTTGCATGTTCTCTCTGTGCATGCGTGAGTTTTCTCCAGGCACTCTGGTTTCCTCCCACAGACCAAAAACATGCATGTTAGACTGATTGGTAGCTCTAAATTGTCTCTAGGTGTGAGTGAGAGAGTGAATGGTTGTTTGTCTCATTTGTCTCTATGTGTCCCTGTGATGGACTGAAGACCTGTCCAGGGTGTCCCCCGCCTCTCGCACAGTGATATTGGGATGTGGGCACCAGTGATGTCCACGGTTTGCACTTGGGCCAAATAACACGATCTGACCCGGCCCCAGCCCATAGCCATAATTTCCGAACCCCACCCGACCCGACGAATTAACAGTAATTACAGGTCCGAACCCGAAACCCCACCCCCAACATTTTGAATTAAGCTGTGACTGCTCATAGTATATTAACGGTCGGTGGATGCGCGGGCCGCTGTAAAGTTAGTTTTACGTTGGTTGTTGGACATTCCAGCTCCGTAGATTCAGCGGCGTTTTCCTCTCATTCAAGTTCGACTGACCGAAATCAGACAGCCTGCATCAGATCGAACGAGAGGAACACACCGCTGAAGCCACGGAGCTTGAATGTCCAACATCCAATGTAAAACTAACTTTATCACGGTGATGCACGGCTGAATAAAAGGGGCAGAAGATCAGAGCTGAGGGGGGTGTTTGTCCTTTCATGACCGTCAAAGAGCATTAAAACCTTGTTTCTGCCTGCATTCTGCATTAAGACCGCTCTGACATGTCTGCTTTGGGATCTCACCTGTTTGGGTCGTCGGCCACACGCGTCCGCTGAGTGCAATGGGTGAATGAACATCCATTTGGACGATGGATCACTGCCTGGCAGTAAAGTCCCATCTGAAGCTTAACTGAACTTTATTTTACCTCAAGGTTGGTCAGCTCGCGCGGAAATGGCCGCATGTATGACAAGCCATGTTGCCATATAATTGGATCACGGCTGATCCGCTGACGCTTTCAAAAGCCTGACATCGACCCAGCCCACCCATCCAGCACATTATCATGGGCCGGCCCGCCCCAAATTTGGGTCTGATTAGTCCAGGCTTCAGGCCCGGGTTAGAAATGACAACTTTACCCCATGACCCAAAAAAGGATGAAGCTGGTAAAGAGGACGGATGGATGGATGGACGGATGGATGGATGGATGGATGGATGGATGGACTGACAATTAAAAAAGGGAAAAATATGTATAAAATGTAAATATGTTGTCATCACAGATTACTCACACTCATTTGTTGCACCAGTATTTTTTATATTAGAAGTAGTTGAGTTTCTTTAATGAATTGTGGGAGGGAATTGTTTCCTTTTCCTTCATGAGTTTGTGTTTTCATTGCTATGATGCTAAGATGTTAAAAAAGTCACTCAACCTTTTTTCCCTGAGTGTTTGGTAAATTTAAGTAGCTCTTACTGTGGCTGCTGCAATACTTCTGGGTCATTTAATTTATTTAAAGATCTTCATGGGCTGAAAATATTTGACTAGAGCTCAGCATCGGACAAAGAGGCTGGCATCCTTTCGTTTTGTAGCTATAAAAACAGAAAGCCATTTGGTGTTTAATAATTACGTTTATTTGTTGTCTTGAACTATCAATATAAAGTGACTGGAGTTTTTTTTGTCTTCTGTCTTGCAAGGATGGATCAACAGCATTATTTAAAGCAGCCTTGAAAGGACACAATGGTGTCATCGAGGAACTCCTTAAATTTTCTCCCTCACTCGGCGTTCTCAAGGTAAAAATCCTCATTCTGGCAAACTATCTTCAGAAATGTTATAATGGTGTATTAGACGATACTGTGTCACCTCCAGAATGGCTCCAGTGCCCTTCATGCTGCAGTGATGAGTGGAAATATTCAAAGTGTTTTGCTACTTCTCGGGGCCAATGCAGACCCCACACTACTCAACAAGGTTAGAACGTTTCGATTAGATGTCAGACAGATGAGACTGATCGCCTGCGCTCATAAATCCTCTCCTTGTGTGTGTATTGCAGAATAATCAACTCCCCGTCGACCTTACAAAGAGTGAACGTATTCTGAAAGTTTTACGTTTAAAATTTGTAAATGGAGACAGTTGATGATGACCCAGACTCTCCTCTTCCATGACGGACGATGTGCAGCAAGAAGAAAACAACAGCGTCAAAATAATTCAGCTGAACGTGTAGCTACTGTACACGATGCTTGTATTTATTTATTTATTTATTTATTTTTGGCTGAAATGAACATGTGATCACAATAAAAGCCTCACATGAAATACAGAGTGACACAAAATACTGACATCTGCCTGTTATTGTTTTACTTATGGTTTTGAATAACAGTAGCTATACTGTATACAACTAGAGAAATTGCATTTCCTGTGAAAATGCAGTGTGAATGCTTATTGTAGAAGAACTTGCTGAAAAACAGCTGAAATTAGCTAAAACATGCTGAAATGTAGCTGAAATGGAAGTAAGCAGAAGAAAGAAAGAACACATATTGATGAATTATGTTTAAATAAGCAGAAATTAGCATAAAAATTAGCTAAAAAAGTAGAAATGAGAAAAAAAATAGCTGAAAAGGCAGAAAGAAGCTTAACTACCAGCAGGAAGTGGAAGGGGCTGAAATTAACAACAACAAAAAAGTGGAATTAGCTGAAAAATCTCAATTTAGTACAAAAATTAGCTAAAAAGTAGCTGAAATAGAAGAAAATGCTGAAACTAACAGAAAAAAAGCTGAAAGGAGCTGAAATTAGCAGAAAGAAGTTACCAGTAATTAGGCTGAAAGTAGCAGAGATGACCAAGAAAATCTTGAATTTATCTAAAAATAGCTAAAATTAGTTAATGTTAGTATTTTTATCTAGACTGACCCTGGTTTTTTTTATCTACTCAGAGATGGGATAATAATGAAATTATAATCTGGTTCTGACTGGTTTAAACGGGGCCAGCAACTCTAAAAAGATTCTCCCAAGGATTCAATATCTGTCAAGGAATAGAGTTTATTTTGCTTGCTACATCATGCAGAAAGGCTTTTTAAGCACCGTCTCACTTTTTTCCTCTCACGTTAACTCATAAAGTCCAAAAGAGACCACATTTAGTCATCTGTAATGACACGGGAGATCCGGCTCTTCTGGTTCCTGATCTTAAGTCGAGGACCAGACTGGCCAGTGCTGTAAACTGTAACCTTCTCCTGCCTTGATTTTAATGCAATTTGTAAAACTGAATTTGTGTTTCTTTGATTTATTAATAGTGTGAGTTGCCGCTTCTGAGGGAGGTCCGAACCTGGGGGCGGACCTGGGGTCCAATGAGGCCTGAGGCCCACAGCTAGCAACAGCTGGCTGTAGTAGCTCAAGGCCCGCATCTGGCTCTCATAACACTAAAAATGTTGTTTTTTTTAAATAAAGAAAAGAAAGCAGCTGAAAAGGTAGAACAAGCTTAAATTAGCAGAAGAAAGCAGAAAGAACACATATTTGCCCAATTAGGCTAAAAGAAGCAGCAATGAGCACAAAAAAGTGGACATTTTCTGAAAAAAGCTGAAATTAGCACAAAAAAAGCAGCTATAAAGTAGATAAAAAAAGCAGAATGAAGATGAAACTACAAGAAGCAAGTGGAAAGCACATTTTTGCTCAGTTAGGCTGAAAAAAGTTGAAATGAGTGCAAAAATGGCTGAAAAGGCTAAAATTAGCATAAAACTGCTGAATAGCTGAGAAACCGAAACTAGCAAATAAGTTGAAAAATGCACGGCTGAAAGTAGCAGAAATGAGCACAAAAAGTTGAAATGATCTGAAAATAGCTGAAAAAAAATTAAATTTGCAGAAGGAAGCTGCACATCTCATCTGTTCATCTCATCTTGAATGTGAAGAAAAACAAAGGAGATGATTGTAGATTTCAGGAGAATCAGGAACAGATCCAACCCTATTTCCATCATGGGAGAAGAAGTGGAGGTGGTGGAGAAGTACAAATACCTTGGAGTTCACCTGGACAATAGACTGGACTGGAAATGCAACAGTGAAGCGTCTACAAGAAGGGACAGAGCAGACTGTACTTCTTGAGGAAGCTGAAGTCTTTCAACGTTTGCAGCAAGATGCTGCAGATCTTCTATAAGTCTGTTGTAGAGAGCGCTATCTCTTCTGCCATCATCTGCTGGGGGAGCAGCACCAGAGAAAGTGACTTAAAAAAGATCAACAAGCTCATAAAGAAGGCTGGCTCAGTTCTGGGGACTCCTCTAGAACCTTTGAAGATGATTGTACAAAGAAGGATTTTTCATAAAATGAAGAATATTATAGACAACCCTCAGCATCCTCTTCATCAGACTGTCATACAACAACAAAGTGTCTTCAGTCAGAGGCCTCTTCAAATCCGTTGTAGGACAGACCGCTACAAGAGATCCTTCCTGCCCACAGCCATCAGCATCTAGAACAACTCTTTAATGAAACCAGGATGATGAGTTACCCAACATATAATTTCCCTCTGGGATTAATAAAGTATTTTTGAATTGAATTGAATTGAATTGAAAGAAGTTGAACATGAACAAAATGTGAAAAGGTTGTAAACATGAAGGAAGTAAAATGAGCTCAATTTATTTTCTTTGAGAAAAAAATTACAGAAAATGCTAAACATTTGAAAAGGCACCAGTACCAAAAGTCATAGCAGGATTACCTGAAAGAGCTCAATGGCCTTTCATATCATCACAGTCCCTGTGACCCACATCTTCAATCTCTCCATAAGACAAAACTCCACCCCAGACACTTGGAAAACAGCCTTTGTTCTTCCTTTGCTGAAGGGAGGTGACCCCACCTCACTGAACAACTATCGACCAATCTCTAAACTCTGTATTTTAGCCAAGGTTCTAGAAAAACTGATAAACTCTCAAATCAAAAATGACCTGGACTCATTTAACATCTTACCTCCTCATCAATCTGGTTTCAGGAAACAACACAGCATAACCACTGCTTCACTGAAGGTTCTTAATGACATTGTTGAAGCACTGGATGCTAAGGATTATTGTGCTGCACTTTTCTTAGACCTGTCTAAATATTTTGACACTGTGGATCATAACATCTTGTGTCATAAACTCTCAGAAATTGGTTTCTCAGAACACACCATTGGTTGGTTCTCTAACTATCTTTCAGACCGGAGGCAATGTGTTCAACACAATGGTACTTCCTCCAGTTATTTAGAGTCAGAGTCAGTGATTCTTTTTCGTCATTCGCACCTCATGTGGTACATGTGGTGGAGCGAAATTATGTACACAGGGTCCCATCCAACAATAAAATGTATAAGAAAAACAGTAATAACATCTAAGATATGAACTAAGAATAACATCAACTAAATATACACTAAGCACTCATAACATAAAACATTGAACATCAGCACAAACATGAACATGAGTCTGTGTGAGCGGATGTGCACGCATGAACACATCAACATTTAAACAGATCAGCAGCAACATGATGTGATTTTTCACAGTGATTATTCTGGTTAGAGATTCATGAGTCTAACAGCCTCAAGGTAGAAGCTGTTCCTCAGTCTAGTGGTTCTACACTTAATGCTCCTCAACCTCCTTCCTGAGAGGAGTGGGGCAAAAAGTGTGTGTGCTGGGTGAGTGGGGTCCTTCATGATGCAGGTGGCTCTCTTCCTGCATCTAGAGGTGTAGATGTCTGTGATGGTGGGGAGGCTGATTCCGACAGATTTCTGTGCAGCCTTCACTACTCTCTGCAAAGCGTTTTTTTCTGCAGCTGTGCAGCCTCCATGCCACACGTTGATGCTCGAGCACAGGATGCTCTCCACTGCACACCTGTAGAAGGAGGTGAGGACTGAGCTTCCCAGACCAGCTCGCCTCAGCCGTCTGAGGAAGTAGAGTCTCTGATGAGCTTTCTTGATCAGATTTAACAGTCAACAATGGTGTACCACAAGGCTCAGTCTTAGGACCCACCCTCTTTACAATCTACATATATAATGTAGGTCAGAGCATCCTTGACGCATCCTTACATTTCTTTGCTGATGACAAAGTTGTTTATTGTCAAGCTAAAACAGTTGATATGGTTTTTCAGCCTTTGCAATCCACATTTAACATAATTCAGTCTGATTTGTTCCATCTCAAACTTATCCTAAATTCTGATAAAACCAAAGGGATGCTTTTTTCAAACAGGAAGTCAGTCCCAGCAGTTCTTCCTCTGATTTTATCCTCAAATTCAATTAAAAAAATTCAATTCAAAAATACTTTATTAATCCCAGAGGGAAATTATTTGTTGTAGTAACTCGTTATCCTCATTTCATTAAGAGATGTTATAGATACTGATGGCTGTAGACATGAAGGATCTCTTGTAAAGGTCCATCCCACAGTGGATCCTAAGAAACTGGTTGCAGATGCCGTCCGATCCATCCACCCAGACTTGGCTGGCCTCTCGGTTCCCCTGGGCTGTAGGACCGCCCAAATGCTGGGCTGAACTCCTCCCAGAGCGATGACCACTCCTCCCAGCAGTCTGCCGAGCTCCTCGTCGCTGCAGACAGCCAACTGTAGGTGCTGAGGGACGATCCTGTCCTTCCTCTGTCATGACCCATGTTTCCTGCTAGTTCCAGGATCTCATTGGTCAGACACTCGAGCACAGCTGGCAGGTAGATGAGAATGCATCCACAGAACATCCTTTTCAACTCATTTGAGATTTGGGGCTGTAGTTGAGATATTATTTGAGCTTTTGAGATGTTAATCAGCTGCTGTTGGTTGTAGAAAACTGCCTTGTTGCCATGGTTACGCAGTACAACAAATATCCAAAACTAAAAAAAGTTTCAGAAAAAATCCTTTTAGCTGCACAGCATCTGATACCAGAGGAAACAATCATCCAAAAAAAATGTGATTTACACCAGAAAAAGAGGAATTAAAGTTTCCAAAAGCAAAATCTCAGAATGAAAGAAACAGAGCTGCTCCAACATGCAGCCACCTTGAACGACGCAAGTATGTAGAATGTGTCCATATTGAGTTTGTTGATTCCTATAAATATCTGGGTACCTTGGTCGACTCGTATCTCTCTTTTAAGCTCCATGTGGAAAACCTAGTAAAGAAACTGAAAGTTAAGTTAAAGTTAAGACTCGACAACAAAATAAGTTTAACTTACTAATAACTCATCAACACCATCACTATTCCAATAACAACACATTCAGTGTAAGACAACACTCCAGTAGTCAATTACATGCCAGGGAGACAGAAAAGTGGGTGAAGAATTTATCTGACAGACAGCTCACCCAGCCAGAGACAGAGATTCTTGCCAGGGGACTGAACTTTGCGGTTGCACCAAGTAGAATTCCTCTGGTGGAGATGATCACAGCAACAGAATCAGCCATCCGCAATAACAAAATGAAAGAGGGTGAAGCAGAACAGCTCAGAATCAAAGTTTCAGCCTGCCTCAGCAATGCCAAACCACCACCTTCCAACATCAGTAGAGAGGAGAGGGATGCACTCAGCACTCTTAGCAAGGACAAAAACATCATCATTCTCCCAGCAGACAAAGGAAGGTGCACAGTGATTTTGAACCAGAAAGACTATCATGAGAAAGTTATGACACGCCTTAGTGACTTAAACACTTATGAACCTCTGAAAAGAGATCCAGGAAGTGGTTACAAGAAGAAGTTAATAGATTGCCTGAAAAATTTGGAGCAGGACAAGGCTATTGACCATATTCTGTACCACAGACTGTACCCAGGGGAGGCCACACCTAGTCTGTATGGTTTACCTAAAATCCACAAACAAGGTGTACCTTTAAGACCTATTGTTAGCATGATTAACTCTGTCACTTACAATGTTTCCAAATATCTGGCGTCTGTACTCATCCCTTTAGTTGGCAGCTCAGAACACCACATACAGAACACCATGGACTTTGTGGATAAGGTGAGGGATGTCATCATGGAGACTGATGAAACAATGGTCTCTTTTGATGTCACATCACTCTTTATGTGCATTCCTGTTGATGATGCAGTAGAGGTGGTCAGTTTAAGATTAAAATCAGACACCATTCTGAGCAGCAGGACCACACTTTCCACAGAACAACTGTGTCAACTCTTGAAACTGTGCCTGCAGTCAACCTACTTCACATATGGGGAGCAATATTATAGGCAGAAACATGGGTGTGCTATGGGGTCTCCAGTTTCTCCTATTGTTGCCAACCTGTACATGGAGGAGGTAGAAAAGAGAGCCTTGACGTCCTTTTCAGGGACACCACCAAGTCATTGGTTCAGGTATGTTGACGACACCTGGGTTAAAATCAAATCTCAGGAAGTCCAACATTTTACTGACCACATCAACTCTGTGGATAAATACATCAAGTTCACACGAGAAGATGTAAAAAATGGCAAGTTGGCTTTCTTGGACTGTGAGGTCTCAGTCTCTGATAGAGGACATTTGTAAACCGAGGTGTACCGCAAACCCACCCACACAGACCAGTATTTGCAGTTTGACTCACATCACCCTTTGGAGCACAAGTTAGGAGTCATCAGGACTCTGTATCACAGAGCAGACAGCGTCCCCACTAGCTCAGGAGCCAGGCAGAAGGAGAAATCCCACACAAGACAGGCTCTAGAGCAATGTGGATATCCTAACTGGGCCTTCCTGAAAGCAGAGAAGAAACCCAAACAGGACTCCAGTCAGCCATCAGGTGAAAAGGAGGAACCCAGACCCAGACCAGTGGTCATTTCATATGTTAAGGGAGTATCAGAGAAACTGAGACGTTTATTTTCTAAACATAACGTCCCAGTGGCTTTTAAACCCCAAAATACATTATGGCAAAGACTGGTTCATCCCAAAGATCCAGTCCCCCGGCACAAACAGAGTAATGTTGTGTATGCTGTTCAGTGTCAGGAGGGCTGTGATCAGTCTTACATCGGGGAAACTAAACAGCCACTGGCCAAAAGGATGGCCCAGCACAGAAGATCAACATCATCAGGCCAGGATTCTGCGGTCTACACTCATCTCCAGGCCAGCGGTCACTCTTTCAAGGATGAAGATGTTCACATCCTGGACAGAGAGGAACGATGGTTTGAGAGAGGAGGAAAGGAGGCCATCTTTGTGAAAAGAAATCGTCCATCGTTAAACAGGGGTGGAGGCCTCCGGGTTCAACTGTCCCCCTCTTACAATGCTGTGATTGCTAGTATCACTCAGCCCTCTGTGAACAGTAAACAGCCATCAGTGTGCTAATGATCCATTGTTAGGCTGATGGTCCTTCTTGAGCATGTGATCAGCTGGTTTTCGTTGTCAGCAGCAAAACTGGTTGATCCACTCTGAGAAGGTGCTATTTAAGAGACTGAGCTGAAAACAGCTCCTCAGACTGAGGAAGTCTCTTGGATGAGAGACGAAACGTTTCTACATTTTTTTGCTTTGTTTTGTTTTTTGTTTTTTTGAATGTCCAGAGGACCAGATTGAACTTTTTTGGATTAAACTGGGTTTCTTTTTCATAAACAGATCCTGTCTAACTCTTAATGCTAGGAAACGCCTTGTATCTGTGACTTTCCTTCCCTCCATCGACTACGGTGACATTATTTACATGAACGCTCCTACAAGAACCCTGCAGATGTTGGATGATGTCTATCATGGTGCACTAAGATTCATAACTGACTGTGATTATCGTACCCACCACTGCACCCAGTATTCACTGGTTAACTGGACATCATTAACTTCATGCAGACTCTCTCACTGGTACATTTTCATCTTTAAATCACTTCTTGGTCTGCTGCCTTCATACATCTCCTACATGTCTCTGCGTGAGTGCAGCTACAGCGTGCGCTCTCAGGACATTATTACCTGCAGTGTTCCCTCAGTGAGGACTGAACTTGGCAAAAGGGCCTTCTCCTACTCTGCTCCAGTGCTCCTGTTTCCTGGAATATCTTACAAAAAGACCTGAAGCTCTCGACCTTGACCTCTCTAAGTGGCTCTAAGAATCTGTTGGACTCCTGGCAGGGACCAATGCAGACATGTTCCTGTTTTTAGTTTTCTACATTCACCTTATAATCTAGCTGTTTCTGTTACTTTTTTTGCCATCTTATTTGTAAGAAAACCCTGTATGCCTTTTTATAATTGTCTATTGTTATCGCTGTTGTCCATTGTTGTCATCACTCTTTGTTAAATCAGGTCTCTCTTGTAAATGAGGCCTCGAGGCTCAATGGGATTAACCTGTCTAAATAAAGGTTGAATGAATGAATGAGCTGAACGTTTTGATTTATGATTTGTTGAAAAAGCACAAAAACTGTGGAACGAGAAAGATGCAGTAAAATATATGGAAGATAAATGAATCAGTGTGAATCCTTCATAAGCATTCACACAATTATTTAATTACTGGTATTTACCCAGTGTTGTAGAATGTTTACTTCTTTTTTTTTCGCATCTTTTATTTTCACAAATATGTGAAAGATTAGTTTAAATTAATCATGGTGAACTCATTAGTTCATCAGTGATCACTAAAACAAAAAGCTAACGTTTCATAATGTAGAAAACTGTTTTTGATGTGTTAACTTTTGGAAACTAGAATTTCTTTCACCTTTGTATTGAAGAAAACTGATCGTAAATAGTCACATGAATGTCGTAGTTGTCAATATAAGAGAAAAATAAGTACAAGAAATGCAAGAATATGAATTTCAGCTCTCAAAACGAACCATGTCAAAACGATCGTTGGGTCACGTGACCACTGCGGAAGTGACTCGAGCTTCAGATGCGGAATAAAAACGAAGCTTTAGGATGTTTGACGATGAAAGTTTCTCGATTACAACACCTGTGTAGTGGATAACACTGAAATACAAACCAGAAGGCAAGTGTACACATATCTGAAGCTAACCTGGGAGTTTTAGAAAACGAATGGCGGGCGGTAATTTACAGGTAAGTGACAAGTTTTCCAAGTTCCCTGTTACACGACTGACAACACGATCTGAAATATTTTTATGTTATTATTTTAGTTGACTGATTAAATGTACTTGGTTTTTAAGGAAGTTTCTTTCAAAGCACTCACTCATGTCTAAATAATAGATCTTTTGTTTATCAGTTAGAAATTCACTGGACTAAATTATTAAAGTAGTATTTCCAATTATCACAGCTCTATTTCTAACTACTTACACCCTTATAATTTATAATATATTAATATATTATGATTGGCAAGCTGTGGTATATAATGTATTTTTATTAAACAAAAAAAAAATGTTGCTCACATTTAGCACAGCCCTGTTTGTAACAATAAAAATAATAAAGTTTGGTGTTTAAACTGCACTGGTTGTTGTCTTTTGTCACAATATCACTTTAAAAGTGCAGTCAGGGCTGTGTATACTGTTGCATCTTGTTAGCTTTTCTTTAAGTAAAGTTAGTGGGAGTGAATTACTTTTCCTCATATTGTTTGCTCTCAGAAAGCCATAGATCTGGCCAGCAAAGCCGCAGAGGAAGACAAAGCCAAAAACTATGAAGAGGCCCTCAGATGTTATCAGCATGCTGTCCAGTACTTCCTGCATGTTGTCAAATGTGAGAAACCGGTTTAGTTTTTACACAATTAATTTGACTATTTATAAACCTGAGCTGTAATAAGTGTTGTGGTTGTGTTGCTGCTGCAGACGAGGCGCAGGGCGAACGAGCGAAGCAGAGCATCAGGGCCAAGTGTGCCGACTACCTGGACAGAGCTGAGCAGCTGAAGGAATACCTGAAGAAAAAGGAGAAGACTCCACCCGCCAAGCCTGTCAAAGAGTCTGGAGATAAAGGGTAAGAGTGGGCAATGAATGTAGGATAGAATCTGTTGCTGTAATTCAAACTCATGTTGCCTTTAGGAGTGAAAGTGATGAAGATGAAGACCAAGAAAAGAAGAAATTCAAAAATCAGCTCTCGGGTGAATAACATTGTTGAAGGATATTGTGACGTTTTCTCACAAAACAAAAATGTCCACAAAGTGCTCATCAGACTAATCTGTTCTGCAGGTGCCATTGTTATGGAAAAGCCAAACGTGAAGTGGAACGATGTAGCTGGGCTTGAGGGAGCCAAAGAAGCCTTAAAAGAAGCAGTTATCCTGCCCATCAAATTCCCTCATCTGTTCACAGGTGGAAGCAGAATGCAGATTGTATTCTCTCGGAAAGAGTTTTGAGTATCTGGACTTCTTAAACAAGTATTGCATCTGTTTGTGCAGGAAAACGAACTCCGTGGCGAGGGATCCTTCTGTTTGGCCCTCCAGGAACAGGGAAATCCTACTTGGCCAAGGCGGTAGCTACAGAGGCAAATAATTCCACCTTCTTCTCCGTCTCCTCCTCTGATCTGGTGTCCAAGTGGCTGGGTGAAAGTGAAAAGTGAGCGTCAGGTTCTTCACACAGAGATAAAACCAAGAACAGGAGAAATTCAAAAGATTAGTCTGACCATTTGAACTCTGTCTTCCTTCGTCATCAGGCTGGTGAAGAACCTGTTCGCTTTAGCTCGAGAACACAAACCATCGATCATTTTCATTGACGAGATTGACTCCCTCTGTGGCTCGAGGAGCGAGAATGAGAGTGAAGCAGCTCGCAGAATCAAAACAGAGTTCCTAGTCCAGATGCAAGGTGAGCAACAACAAATAAAGCCAATTACAGTGACCATGTGACCGTCACAAACAGTTATTAACTAACCTGATGAATTTTTCCTTTAATTAATTTCCCACGCTCCATGGTCATGTTGGTATGGGGTTTTCATGTAGGAAAGGCAAATTGTTGCCTTGAAAATGCTGTTGGTAAAAAAAAATGTTTGCTTGACTATGTTCCTTTGTATTTAATTGTATAATTATCTAATTGTTGATGTTCTTTTCCCTTTCAGGTGTTGGAAACGATAATGAAGGAATTCTTGTTCTGGGTGCAACAAATATTCCGTGGACGCTGGATTCTGCCATCAGGAGAAGGTTGGCTTACCTTGCATATAAGAAGGAACCCCTGCCCAGTCATTTTTACAATAATTCAAAATTAGTATTGGTCACAGCTGTAATAATGATCAGGTTATGAGAGCGTAAATGTCTCATTTTGGCTTACTGAACTTTTTGTTCATGAATCAGGTTTGAAAAACGAATTTACATTCCTTTGCCAGAGGACCACGCCCGGTCTGCCATGTTCAAACTGCACCTGGGCTCCACCCCCAACGACTTGACGGACCAGGACTTTGTTACTCTAGGCAAGAAGACAGAGGGTTACTCAGGAGCAGACGTCAGTATAATCGTCAGAGACGCCCTCATGCAGCCTGTCAGGAGGGTTCAGTCTGCCACTCACTTCAAGAAGGTAAAATGTCATCTCACCTTTTTTTCCCTTATGAACAGCAAGACTGACTTATTTTAGTATGCCAGCTGGAAGATAGTGTTTCTAATGTTCTGGGCAATGAACGTGCAGATTCTTCCTTCACCGTTTCACGTGGCCACCAGAGTTTTGGCAGTGCCTGCATGTAGAGCACCAGCGGGACGAGTTTTCAGCTCATTCTTCGGCCTCATCGTGCACAAATGACTGACAGACTTTTGTCCAGTTTGGTCTTTTCAAATGCAGAAAAGCTAACTGAAATAACTTAAAGTGCACATTCCTGTTCATTGTTCTTTATTTATTTGTTTTGTTTTATTCATTCATTTAAAATAAACAAAACAAATTCGTCAAAAAGAAAAAAACATTGAATGAAAAGGGTGCAAAAAGAAGAAGAAAATGATTATAATCTCTGCCCCTTATTTAAAAAATACAAAATGACTACAAACAAACAACAACAACCTTCACTTGAACAATCTCCAAATTGAAAACAAAAAACATCAGGTATCCTTCAGCTGGTGCCATACTTTCACAACAACTATAACGTAATCATATTTTTAAACATATAAATTGTTTTAGAAACTTTTATGGTGATTTCAAGGCAATTCCACAATCCATCCATCCATCCATTTTCTTCCGCTTATCCGGGGTCGGGTCGTGGGGGTAGCAGCCTAAGTAGGAAGGCCCAGACTTCCCTCTCCCCAGCCTCTTGGTCCAGCTCCTCCGGGGGAATCCTGAGGCGTTCCCAGGCCAGCTGAGAAACATAGTCCCTCCAGCGTGTCCTGGGTCTTCCTCTGGGTCTCCTCCCCGTGGGACGTGTCCGGAACACCTCACCAGGGAGGCGTCCAGGAGGCATCCTAACCATAGATGAGGGTAGGAACGTAGATCGATCGTAAATTGAGAGCTTCGCCTTTTGACTCAGCTCTCTCTCTTCACCACGACAGACCTGTACAGCGCATGCTTCACTGCTGACGCTGCACCTATCCGCCTATCGATCTCACGTTCCATTTTTCCCTCATTCATGAACAAGACCCCAAGATACTTGAACTTCTCCACTTGGGGCAGGACCTCCTCCCTGACCCGGAGAGGGCACTCTACCCTTTTTCCGGCTCAAGACCATGGCCTCGGATTTGGAGGAACTGATCTTCATCCCGGCCGCGTCACACTCGGCTGCGAACCGTTCCAGCGAAAGCTGTAGATCACGACTTGATGAAGCCAATAGGACCACATCATCTGCAAAAAACAGAGACACAATCCTAAGGCCACCAAAACAGATCCCCTCAACACCTTGGCTGCGCCTAGAAATTCTGTCCATAAAAGTTATGAACAGAATCGGTGACAAAGGGCAACCTTGGCGGAGTCCAACTCTCACCGGGAACAAACCCGACTTACTGCCGGTCATACAGGGACCTAACAGCCCGTATCAAAGGGCCCGGTACCCCATACTCCCAGAGTACCTCCCACAGGGTCCCCCCAAGGGACGCGGTCGAACGCCTTCTCCAAGTCCACAAAGCACATGTAGACCGGTTGGGCAAACTCCCACGCACCCTCCAGGACCCTGCTGAGGGTGTAGAGCTGGTCCAGTGTTCCACGGCCAGGATGAAAACCGCACTGCTCCTCCTGAATCCGAGGTTCGACTATCCGACGGACCCTCCTCTCCAGAATTCCACATCCTATTCCCTGAATAACGACGCAGCTCCTTCAGACTAGTTCTAAATGGAGTTTTTACAAACATTTCCATTCCCTTAAGGTTATAATGATGCTCTTTTTTTCTACAAATTTTAATTGAATATTTGGGGGTAATGTTTTTATGAGCTTTATACATGACGTAAAATACTATATTCAACCAAATCATAATTTTTTTATAATTTCAACTGATGAAATAATGTATTTGTTGGGTGATCATAGCACTTCCTATTAATAATTCTTATAGCTCTTTTTGGTCAAATAAAAATAGTTTTTGTAATTGTTTTGCATGTTTTTCCCCAAACTTCAGTACAATAGATTAAATATGGAACAATCATTACATTATACAATAAATACAAAGCTTTGTCATTCAAAAACTATTTTACTTTATACAGTAATGTAATTGATTTTGTTATTTTTATTTTTAAGTAATTTACATGAGATGTCCATGTCGGCTTCTCATCAATAACGACATCCAAAAGAAATTATTTCATTAACTCTTTGAATGTCACTACTGTCAATTTTAAATGGGCCTTCGTTGATTTTAATTCTATTACTAAATATCATGTAGTTTGTATTTTCCAAATTTAATGATAACTTATTGAGTTCGAACCAATTTTGTATTTTTACAAATTCTACCTGTATCATTTCTAACATCCGCTCAATATCTTCACCCGAACAAAAAAATGTGGCATCATCTGCAAATAAAACACATTTCAAAAGCCCTGACACATCAACCAGCTCATTCACATACAAAATAAACAACTTTCGTCCCAACACAGAGCCCTGAGGAACTCCACATCCATTAACACGAAATTCTGATCTTACATTGTTTACCTGTACAAACTATCTCCTTTTATTCAAATAACTGGATATTATTCAGTTCATATATTTGTTTTGTTTCTTTTTGTCACTCACACATGGACACATGCAAACATCTGTTAAATGACCAGATGAGAAAGGAAATCAATTTACTGTGATGGTTCTTTGTAATGTGCTGTGGAAATGTCAGCACTTTTTGTCTGAACATGGAGTTCTGCTCTTGCATTTGTCACTGAATGTTTATTCTGGAAAATTACAGTTTAAAGGAAGACCATTCTTGCAGCTAGGTTTAAATGAACAATATAAAGGTGCAATTTTAGAATGACTTTTTTTTTTTTTTTAACACTTTCTAAGTTCAGTTGCACGTTTCATCATGATTTGAGATAAATACAGATTTTAAAAAGAACACACTGTCTATCATTTACATTTAACATATAATTGCAACATTGTTAAAAAAAAAAAAAAAAACTCAAAAGGACTTGAAATTTCAAGGTTCAGACTTGATACTTGCAAAACAATGACTTGGTCCCATCTCAGTTATTTCTTGCAGCTTCGGCTTCCAGAGAGATCTTTTGCTAAAATGACACACACAGTTCACCCAGTCACATTCAGCAGGAGGTGACAAACATTTTTTTAACAGTTTTGAGGCATTTGACAATTTTATGTAGCGAAAAAGAGCAGAAATGATTCCTTTGACTGGTAATGTTCCGGATGACTTCCCTGCACCACAGCGAGATGAAAGGTGCTGGAACGATGCGTCACATTTGTTTTAACTGCTTGTTTTGGCAGGTTAGTTTGTGTAAACATTATTTAATTCACAATAAAGATTTGTCATACATCTTCATAAAAGCCTTATTTAGACCGTCAGACATTAATTTCATCTTCGTTACGATTACCATTCAAGGTTCGGGGGCCGTTGATAAACAGCCCAGAAGTCGTGGTTGAAGACCTGCTGACTCCGTGCTCACCAGGAGATCCCAGTGCCTTGGAGATGACGTGGATGGACGTTCCTGGGGATAAACTTCTAGAGCCCATTGTGTCCATGGTAAGAGAACTATTTGTGGTTTTGGTTGACATGGTAAACGGTGATCTGGATCTAATGTCTCCTCTGATATCGGTACAGACGGACATGCTGAGGTCTCTGAGCAACACCAAGCCCACAGTCAACGAGCAGGACTTGGACAAGCTGAAGAAGTTCACCCAAGATTTTGGTCAAGAAGGCTAAAAAACACTCGTCTACTTAAAAGATCCAACTGCAGTCGATTATTTTCACCATCCGTCATGCCGTTAGTCCAAACGTTACAAGAGTTGCAGAATTTGTAAACGTCTTCACTTAAGCATTTATCTTATTTTACTACAGCTTGTTCACGTTTCTTACTGCACTTCTCCGAATTGAAGATGGAATTTTTTTGCACCAAAGGAACTTACCGTAGTTCCAGGGTTGACGTCTTTTACTGGGAACGACCGTTTTCTGTTATTTCACTACATACAGCAGCATTTTTATGAGTTTCTAAAGTAACTGAAATGTTTTCTAAAAGCATCTCTGAACTCAGAACAGTTTCCTGTAAGTTTTACCATTTGTGAACATTTTGTGGTTTGCTGTAGCTGTAAATGTAGAATTGTCTTTGTTAAACACCACGTGGCACTTTTGGGTTTAAAAAAGATATTTTAAAAGTTTTTGTTTTTTTTAAAGAAATTGTTCAAACAGCCATAAAATCAAAGGTCATTTCTTGTATTTTATTGTGTTCTATGAACAAAGCTCAGGGTTAAAGAAAGCAATGCAAAAAAAACTTTGAATATATTTATTTGTTAAAATACATATTGGTTAACATTTGTTTTTATTGCAGGATAAATCTTAACGAGTTTAAAAAGTAAAACAGTTTCACATCTTCGTACATATTTTAACACCTTTTGAAAAATGACACCCTTGTTGTTTGAACTACAATCTGCTTCCATTTCTGAGCCTGGTGGCAAGAATAACAACTGTTTGACATGTAAATAAAAGGTTTCACCTGAAGAATAACGCTGCAGTTTGTCATCATCGAAATGTTCAAGTGTCTGAGAGAAAAACAAAACCAAAGCTGACTGACGTGCTTGATCTGTATTCCCACATCAGGCCTGGAAATGAAAAACATGGACTCAAACAAAATTCAACAGCTGCCAAGAAGTAAAAATAAAAACAAGAAAATCGGATGTAAAATTTGAACATTATTCCCTTCACACATTAAACTTAGTGTTTTCTCAAACGCTGATATCTGGTGAAACCAGACGGTGAAAGTTAATATTGCTCCGAGTGTTCCTGGTGCACAACGTTTAACTCAGGCCACATAAATAACTCAAACACACAGAACAAAAAGACACGAGCTAAACAATTAGACTATATGGTTTAAATTCCAAATACAAAGGCAAAATGAGCTGAAACACACCTGAACTGCACACAAACAAGTTGGTGTCTTAAGTAGCAGTTGTGGTTTTGGTTAATTACTTCAGCCTAAGACAAGAAAACTGAGAAGAGTGCACAGAAAAGTGCTGAAAGTACTACAGCCTATCAGTCTTTTTTTTGTTGACCTAACTGAACAAGATCATTTTATTTGAAATTTCTAGACCACACTGAGGATAATCTACACAATATGCTGTAAAATGTATATATAATGTAATGACACAGGGACTGGGTGCTACTAGACGTTCGATGGTTATGACGTTAGAAGACCGAGAAGAGGGAGCCGAGAGCCAAACCAGTTGCTGCTCCAGCGAGCATGCCCAGAGCTGCGTCTCCTGCGTGGTCGCGCTGTCGTTCCTGAATGATGACGTGGTTCACTCCAGGAGCAGCATATCCACCTGCACAACGCAGCAATGGTTGGATTAATTACACCTGATATCCCTCACCAAAAACCTCATACCGCTGTGCTCAAGCTAAGAAACGTGCAGTTACTTACCCTGATACTGGTATGGGTAAGCAACAGCATAAGGGTGCCCGTCTGCAGAGTAAACTATCTGATTAGCATGAGCAGGTGAAGCACTGTAGTCTCCATATGGGCCTGGTGCATAAACCTAGCAATCAAAATACACATGATTTGAAACATTGGCTTGAAGAACTATTATGAACACTACCATACTTAATCCAGCAGGTGGCAGCAAACACATTGGAGCTGACATTTTCTCCTGAAGTAGAACTTTTCGATTTTTAGAATTATTACTGGTTTTGTTTTGCATAAAGAAAGTCAAGTTACAGGTTTAAGACAAAACATTCAGCACGTACATGTTAGATTAGGCTTTCTATTTTACAGCCATAACTATACAGTTTACATATCTTACCTGTGGATGAGCATATTCTGAATAGGGGGGAGGAGCAGAAGCCACAACTTCTTGTGTGAAACCAATCTGAGCAGCAGCAACTACCTGATTATTAAACAACCAATTAGAGATCAAAACAGAAGACCAAGACAATGACGGTTTTATGTGATTTTAAGAAATAAAAAGAGCAATTCATTCGGCTATGCTGAAATTATTGAAGTGTAGAGAGGAAAAAAAAATGTGAACGCTTCAGAGTAAATGTAGCAAAACCTCACCGCATTAATTCTTGCATCCTGAAGTGCCATCGTCCATGCGCTTCAACAAAATGTAGAAAATATATATTTGAATTTAAAAAAATGCCTTTTCTGTTAAACACTAAAAGTTTAACTTATTATGCAAGAAAATGGAGGAAAAAAATTAATTGTGATATAAATTTAGGGCGTGTGCAAGCTGTCTTACAGGGCATCGTCTGCACTGTCTGCACACAAACTGATGACCTGTCCATCTCTGCACACGATCTGGAACAACGCATCACGTGGCTTTCCCTCCGGTGGGTTCAACCCTAAGAAGAAAAGAGCAGTAAGGAGAAAAAAAAACAAGTTTTAAACATGATTTAAAACGTGAGTGAAGTTCATAAAGAGCGGAACAAGCACACAAACATGTGACAAACACCGTGGCACGCTGCAGAGCTGCGGATGTTGATGCAGTGGACTCTCATGTGAATGTCATCCTCCATGTCACGCCGCTGCTGATCACTGTAGAACACGAGCCGCCCGTCAGCCCATAAGTCGAACCAGTTTCTCTTCCAGCGGCGTAGTATGGTACCTGAAATGCAACCATGTGAAAAATCAAGCTGTTTTACTTCAACCGTTCTTTGTACTGGCTGATCTGTAAACTTACAATAACATAAATACTCACTTTGTCTATGGAGCCAACCACTCTTTACCATCGCCATCTTAGAAGAAACGCCTAAAGAATAAACAATAAGGTAAAACTGAAGGGTTGATGACTTGGAGTGACACACCTCGTGACTGACAAGTCCTTATGTATAACTTTATAGACAAAAAAACATGTGTTTTTTACTTTTTGGGAGGCAAATAAATCTGCTTACTCAGCTGAATTTTAAGCTAAAGTGCCAGCACAGCTGCTTATTCATAGACTTTATGTTGCAACTTTAGATGTTTGGTTAACATAATGCTAGCACGCCATTGCACAGTTCAAACAGTTGCACATAATCTTATTTTATGGCCACCACATTAAACACAGTTACTTAAGATGGTCATTGCACATGAACAATAGGAATAAAAAACACCTAGTTGTTTACAGTTAGCAGAACATGGCTAACAACAGCTAGCCGACCAGCTGGTGTGAACTGAAAACATCCAGAGTCAGTAAATGCTCCCACTCGTCATTTTTAATCGACTACAATAATTATTTCATCTTTAAACCTGTTTGGTGACATGTGCACTTACTTTATTTCTTGTTTGTCTCAGATATCGTTTTGCAAAGATACAGAATACGCGGAAGTAACGGGCACAGAAACACGATGTCTTACTCGGAGCAAAAAACGACTTGACCTTTTATTAGAGTGGACACAGCTAGCGGGCCCAAGAGGATCCTTCAGACTACGATTCCCGTTAAACTCCGCCCGACGAGCATCTTCACAAATGCCCAGTCTCTGAAGAGGGAGGCGTTTGTTTTGAATGACGTAACCTCTCAGCTGACAGCGATGGAAAGTGCTAGCAAAATCAGCAAGCGTGCGCTTGATTTATACCCATCTACCTGCTTGATGGGCACGTGATGGAAAACTGTGAAATATTTGTCTGTCACCTGTAACTGCAAATCAAAACAATAATACGTTGTATTATCATTGACCAGATAAGTAAAAATAGAGTCATCTTGCTATAAAGTTTCCGAGTTTATATGCTGGTAACAATTTACCGATGCGGGTACTAGCAACAGACTGACCGACGGCACATCCGGGAATCAAAAACAAACACACTCCGTCAAGCTAACAGTTTGTTAGCTGGAAGAGCAACGCAGAAGGTATACAGATAACACGAAATGGCGACGGCAATATATTTGGAGCATTATTTGGATAGTAAGTACATGAGAATATGCTGCACAGGATAAAAAATGTGTCCAACACAAGTTCGCTTGTGGTTTACTTTGATTTTACGGTCCACTTCACCCAGAGGAATAAGACATGTACATACACGTTAGCTAGCTTTCTAGCTAACAGCGTCGTGGAAGCTTTGAGAGAATAAAATAAAACTTTATGCACAAACGGGTTAATTCACTGACAAATAGAAGCTGTGGTGAAGTGTTCGAGTTACACAAATACTGCAGCTTGCAGTGTAATTCGGACTTTTGCATGTGTACACATAAAAAAGTATTTTTCTTTAAAAAGCATATTATAATTTCGTATTTTACTATTTAAAAAAATAATAATGTTTTTGCTTTTAGTTAGTGTTTGTTTTAGTAAAGTTAACAGCATGTGTGTAACCTTTCGGAAACCGCCTTTCCCAGAACAGTTTAGGCGCCGAGGCGGGTTGTTGTTGAAGTTCAGCCTCCGGAGCTGAACGCTGTCAAGCTGCGATTAAAACAGCGTGTCACGCACGAATACTGCGCGTGGACTCCTGCAGAAACTTACTGATGTGGCTCGATGGCACATCAGCCATGACAGACTTGATCACAGAAACAGCAGTGAATGTCTGTGCACATAAAACAATGTCTAGATTCAATTGTGTGTGTCCACAAATAGGCTCCTACTGCTTCTAACCTCTACACATTTTACATAAACATGTACACTATGTTAATATTATAGTCCATTAATGTCTGGAAGACAACTATAAAATAAGTTATGTGCTAAAAATCTTTGCAAACAGTGTTATACCTGTACTGTGCATCTAATTAAATAAAGCTGCTGTGGTATCTTTCTAATGTAATTGTATGATACTTTGATTTTTTTGGACTTCTTCAATCATTTGAAAGTTTGGCAAAAGATGATCAAGAATAAATACGTTCAAACTTAAAAATGTCACAAACAAGCAGAGGTCTTAAAGGAGGTATTTCCTTCATATATCAGGAGTTAATTGGTAAATGGTCTGTACTTAGCGCCTTTCTATCAAGACACTCAAAGCGCTTTACACTACAATCTGTGTCCTCATTTACCCATTCATACAACACTACATGATCTCTACAAAGCTAAGTGAACAAATCATTCTAAAGAGACTAATCAGTGATTTATCACGTTCATACACTGATGGGACACACATCAGAGGCAATCAATGTCTTGCCCAGAGACATTTCAGCATGTGGCTGTTGGTGGAATCGAACCCCCAGCTCTTGCATTGGCGGACGACTGCTCTAACCGCTCAGCCACAGCCACCCAAGTAGCTTAAAAACAATGTAAAAAAAATTGCTAAATGCTATAAGTAAGTGTTCTTCATTTCTTTAGGTATTGAAAACCTACCATGCGAGCTGCAGAGAAACTTTACTTTGATGCGGGACCTGGACAATAGAACTGAAGGTGAGCGCTTCCTCATCCGAAGGCTGTTTGGACTAAACACCCAACAGCTCTGTGTGCGCCGTTTATGCACATGCCTGTTTCTATAATAATATGTCATCTTAAGTAACTAATTTGTTGTGACTTTTGGAGTTTCTACTACCTTAAAATCAGCAACAAATGAGCTTCTTAAACAGTCAGTTGTTGTGCTGTGCAGAAAAGAAAGCAGACATCACCAAACTGGCTGAGGAGTACATTGCGAACGTGAAGAACTTGGCCTCGGAGCAGAGAGTGGAACACCTGCAGAAGATTCAGAACGCCTACAACAAGTGCAAAGAGTTCAGCGACGACAAAGTCCAGCTGGCAATGCAGACGTACGAAATGGTCAGTCGCGTATTCTCATTTTACCTTTTTATATTTATACATGTATTTTTAGAATTTCCTCAATTAAAGAAAAGATGCATTTGAGTCACACTTTTTTGTTGACTCCAGGAAATGTCTAATCAGGTGCTAAAACGGAGACGTTTCTTTACCCCAGGTGGACAAACACATCCGGAGGCTGGATGCAGATCTGGCTCGGTTTGAGAACGAGCTAAAGGAGAAGCTGGAATTGAGCGGCTATGAAAGCACAGATGGAAGAGTGCTGAAAAGTGCGTTTGCTAACGGAGAAGCTTTTGGTTGCACAGGAACAGATTTTACACTTGTAATAAATATATCAATCGCTTTCTGCAGAAAGCGATTTGCGTGGGCAGAAAGAGAAACGTGGTTCCCAAAAACGAGGAAGGAAAGGTTCTGATGAAGACTCTCCCAAAAAGAAGAAGATGAAGAACAGGTCCGTTTAGCCTGGTGCTTGTGATGAATTCAGGATTGTTATCAGCTGCACCGTGTTTACTTTGATTCTGTTTCACGTTGGTGTTAGTCCGGACTTGACTGAAGCTCTCCTGCCTGTGCAACCATCGGACGTCTTAGACATGCCCGTTGATCCAAACGAGCCCACGTACTGCCTGTGTCATCAGGTGTCATACGGAGAGATGATCGGATGTGATAACCCTGATGTAAGTTTCAACTTTTTTTTTTAATTTAAGAAGCTTTTCCTCAGGTTGAGATTAATATTTTTAATTTCAGTGTCCGATCGAGTGGTTTCACTTCGCTTGTGTTGACCTCGCCACTAAACCAAAGGGAAAATGGTAAGACTTTATATAATTATTTGGAGAAGAAACAACTTCTCAGCATTAAATTAGTCACTTTAACATTTCTTTTTTTGATCCGACAGGTTTTGTCCCAGATGCACTCAAGAAAGGAAGAAAAAATGAATTTCAGACACGTCGGACTTGCCCATGTGTTCCTGATATTGTTAAATAATGTAGTAGATATTTGTTATTACAGATATTTATCAAAAGGGTATTTCATACAGCTTTCTTACAAGGCCCAGTCTGAGTTTTGGTGTAAAACTCCACCTCTAACATCATTATTATTTCTGTATTGGACTCTCTGTTTGTGCACAGCTGTCTCTGTCCAGTAGCTTTAAAACTAATGTGTGTTCTGGGCCTGGTCAGAAAGTTCCTGCTCTGAAGTAATAACCTGTAAATATGAATATACAAGTTGAAAGTCCCAGATTGTGGCTTTAGCATACTTGAAATGTGAGTTTTATAAAGAACTATTTTGTTTTAAACAAATTTAACAGCCTGCTGAGAATTTGCTATTTAAACACCTAAATCCTTACTGAGATGATTAAAAAAAAAAAAGTGTCAGATTTGTTTTTGTGACTACCTCTTTGGGGTTTGCATTGGCACTGCTTACATGACTGCAATTGATAGTGGGGTTTAAAAAGTGTTTTAGCTTAAACCAAACTAGCATATACATGTAAACTTCTTTATATATAAAAAAATTAAACAGAAGCCTACGACATTTTTGAATGTATTGTGGTTCTAATGGTCAGTTCATCCTGTCGGCAGAATACAATATTTAAGCACTTTGATTTAAATTTATTCCCGAAGAGGTTTGATATTGCAGGTTGAGTTTTAAGTTATAGTTTCTCATTTAAAACTTTGCCCTGGCACATCTAGTGTTTTTCTCCTAGAGAAAAAAAACACACCGGTATTTCGAACCATATATAAACATAACTATATATATATATATATATTTTGTATTTGACAGTATTTTGTAGACATCTTCCAAAGAGAGCTTTGTTGTATGAATTAAATATCAGCATACATATTCTAATTTAATACAAAATTTAGCCGCCTTTTTCGACTATTGCTCATTTAGACGTAAGCCACAACTATAAAACCAAAGTCTGTGTATTTTGTAAAACTTCATAATAAATAAAATTCCACTATTAATCATGTATTTTTTTATTGTAGTTTGTAACGACGTGTGCGTTTAAAGTGACTAAGAGTGATGTAAAAACTGTAATGGTCTGTTTTTTCCAAATGGTGCATAAAGCCGAGGTCAGAAGTCCAGCATGTTAGGTCATGGCCTAGAACGTGTCCAACTCCAGGCTCGGGGGTCAAATGTGGCCCTCGCTGACATGTTCTCTGGCCCCCAAGATGATATGCAAGACTTTTATCACGTGGAAAAATGTCAGAAAGCTTTGATTATGATGTTGAAAGCACAACAGAGAAGATCAAATGAGACCAATCAAACTTGAGGAACCTGTGACCAAGATAAGATGCTGGGTATCTGAGTGGAGTTAATGTAGATTCTGAAATGGCCCATAGTTTGAAAAGGTTTTGAATTTTGGCCCCTTTTGTGAGTTTGACAGCCCTGCTAGAAAAAGCAACTTACCAATGTAACAACTGGTTCATATTAACAAAAGTTTTGTCAACCTTAGTTATGTCAGATATTTATAGAATCAGCAGACAGCTTTAAAATCCATCCTCTGACTCGTCATCCCAGCTGCACTTCTCTTGGGTCTTTCTGTCAAACTGCTTTTCCACGTCATAAATAAAGTCTGGATCATCTTTGAGCTTCCGGTTCTTCTCAAACATTTTGTCCATTTGGTTCTTCTTACGAGCTAGTTCCTCATCATCCAGTTTGTTGAGGTCTTCCTCGGGGTCCAGGTGAAATGAGGCCAGGCTGTGCTCCAGGCTGAAGCCCTGCATGTGATCTCGTAGGACGATGTGAAGTTTCTCCAGCTGGCTCTGGGGCACTTCATTCAGATAGTCTCTGTGTCTTGGATGGTTTTTCAGCCTTTCAGCAGCTTTGTTGCAGTCTGAAAGAGAAAATCTTACTTTTAATCTGCACTGTTAAAGCAAATGTCTACAAAATTGTTTAACTTGTTCCTTTTTTGTATGTACTTATTTTAGAGCTCCAGAAACTACTATGTGTGCATGCTGTAATTTAGATTGCACAGTAGACTGTTGCTAATTTTATTAAGAAAAACGAACTTATAGGGGCTTTCAGGTTCATGCAGGTAGTGAACCAGGCTTTCAGTTAAGTTTTTAAAGCTTTTGTATGTTTTAAGAGTTGCTGGAACTGGAACATCTTCCTGAACATGATATAAATACATGTTTTGTTTTTCTTACCAGAATATTTGGAGAAGTTCCGAACTGGTATGATTCTTTTTCGCATATTTTTTGTGTCCGGGTGGACATAAATTAAAATGATTGAAGGAGGGTTGAACTGTACTCCGCATCGCTTTGCCTCGAAACTCATCTTCATGGAATTAAAAAAACGTAGTTTAATCTGACCTCCATTCAACAGCTAAACTAATTTTATCTTCAATATAATTTGTAAAACAAGGCACCCACCGCCGAGCACAGCAGCGTTACCAGGGTACCGTACATCCGGTGGTTGGTGTGAGGGTGTTTTCACTGAAGCCTGTCTAAATTTCGAAAATCAATACTCCATAAACGTTATTTTGCTGGTAAAATCATTATATATTTAATTTATTTACACTAAAAATAAATATATTTTTAAGATTTATAAACTTAGTCTGATAACATTATTAAATTCAAACAAAAAAAGTTACATATTTAGTCAGGCATAACTGTAGCTTTCTATAAGTATCAAGATCCTTTTCCGTAATAGGTCAATGAAGCGAATAAAGTTGAGACTGATCAACATTTGTAGCCTGAATATACCTACCTGAGTTTAATATTAGGTGTTGATGTATTTTGAACTGACAGTCGTTTTAGCTTATTTATTGACATGTCATTGTTTTGTTAAAAAAGGTAAGCACTATTGGTTAAAAAGGAGGTAGCCTCTTGTTTTTGTGCCATGAAGTGTATTAACTTCTATCAAGTTTATGTCTCAAACAGGGAGTATTTAAAATGTTTGAGACGTGTGAAAGTAATTTGAATGCTGCATATATATTATAATAACTAGAAGAAAAGCTGGTTAAATCCCTCTTGAAGCTGCCTGTTCTGATGAAGTTATTGTACATGTTTTCTGCAGATGACTATCAGGACCACTGTGATCTAAAGCAGTGGCTTCAGTCCTCCACAGTATCCGTGGAGCTCAACAAGATGGGTTTTCACAGGTATATGTCCAGTTTTATAAAGTGTAAGGTCAGCTGTGAAGTAATAAGTAATCATGCTTCCTGTGTTTTAGGGAGGTGACTACCACTGTTGAGCTCAGCCCAGATGTGCTCAGTGATGTTCGCATGTTGCTGGTTTACAAATGGCCCAGTGGCGTTTACCTAGATCCATATCAGCTGGCATCACTGACGGCTCAAAGCAACTGGCATGTAAGTATGATAAATGTTTGTATTAATTGATAAATTGATACAAATTATCAACATATAGTTGTCGAGCAAGCATTACAACGAGCAGTGTGTTTGTGACATTATTTCTGTCCTCATTTCTGAAAGGTATTGATAGATTCAGCCATTGATCTAGAAGCTCCCGCTCACAAGACTTCAGGATTTCTTACGTATGTGTATCCCACCAATACCGGACCAACATCTACAAAAGTAACAATTCCAGTACATGGACGCTATCATGAACCGTCCTTTGTTGGGGAAACATTTACATCTGTTCACATGGAACCTCCAGAGCTGCTACTGCGGACTGAAACATGTAAGTAGTTAATTTTACAGTTTGTGTTTATGAATGTACTTATTAATACTTAAATTTATGGTTCACTATCAAATCAAGACGTTATTTGAAATAAAGAGCTGTTGACGATACATTTGTTTTCCCTCTGTATGAAGTGGTTAGAGATTAGCTCAAGTTTGTACATGTACTGTTGTAATGTAGTTAAATAGATTATATATGGTTAGTAAAAGCTTGGTGTATACGTAACCTCATCTACATATTATACTGTTGCAATATTAAGACATTTCTTATTTCTAAACTATTTATTTTCTCTAGGCACACATCGCAACATACTGGAGCCTTTTACTGTAGTCGATGCCCCATGCACCGTCAGCAATTCCAGCATGTGCTCATGGATTAAAACACATCATCAGCAGGTACAATTCTTCATACGTCTTATCAGAAGACTTCGTTTATTTCTGATTTATTCTTACTCTCTTAAAAATATGTTGTTTCCTTCAGGAGCGCAGCATCATCAGTTTCCAATTTCCTGTCGGTGATGGGTCTACGGTGACTCGTGTATGTGCGGGGACTCTTCTCGTCACCATGATCTGCTGTGTGGCACTGTCCCAATACTTGCTGAAACATCGAATCTGTTAAAGCAGCAACAGTCTTGTTCAGCCAGTTTATTGTTTTCCAGTTCATGGACAGATACGTGGACTAATTCATGAGAGGAAAAACGCTCGCGCAGAATTCACTCTCAGACGTCACTGTGATTTTATTTTGTAAATATTCAAGGTTCTTTATTGTCATTCGCATCACATGTGGTACATGAGGTGGAACAAAATTGTGTACTCAAGGTCCCAATTACACCCCAAAATAGCAAAAACATTTAAAAAAAAAAACAATATACAAGATCTAAGATATACACTAAACAATAATAATTTAAAATAATACTGTACATTAATATTAAGTAAATAATAAATATTGTAATCCTGTTCAAGTTTTCTAGTGATGCAGTCTGGATATTTGATGATGTGTGAGCTCAGGGACTATGAGAACAAGCAGTTTGTATGTTCATAGCTGGAGATGACTATTTTAACAAACGTTTTAAATAGAAAAAAAAACACATTTTTTCATGTTTAATGTAAAGACATGCCTATTTATATGGGTGAATAAGTCTTTTATTTTGATAAAACATAGCTGAGGTGGTCTAAATGGAAACCACGTGTCAAATCATACTTTTATTAAATCTGCCTTTGTGTGGTTATAATTAGAACCTGTATTTTTCCAGGTAAAATGAAACCTGTACTGTATTAAATATGAAGCACCGTTCAGCTGCTGTTGTCTAAACTTTTAAATTCTTAATATGGTTTAAAAAGGGGTGTTTATACTTTGATACATTATAAAAATAGTAAATGTGTGTCCGCTCCATTCATTTGAAGCGGCGGCTGAAGGGGCCAGGGTTGGGTCGCTAGTTCCGCTTCCCCTTCGCCGTAGCGGAATTATCCAAAGGCCCAAAAGACACAAGACTACTTCCACTGTAAATAGAAGCGGGCACGTTTCTGCTAACTCATTGGTGTGTGCCGTGAAGGTCCCAGATGTTACTGCGGGTACACTTTTAGCGGATTTTTAAGCGCTTTCCAACCCATCGGTGGTGCTCCTGGAGCCGAGCGGAGCTGGTGGGATCCCCGGTGAGCTCCGCCGCTTTACCCCGTTAGCTTGATGAGGTGGATGTGGGATATTTTGGCCCTTTACAGCCCGTTTGGTGTGTACATTTTCTGCTTACTCGTATAAATGTACAGCCTAAGAAAACTAGTGGACTTCTGGCACAACAGCTTCAAGTTTTTATTGAGCAAAGCGGTTAGCATGTCGTGCTAGCCATAACTTTAGCACACTTGTTGGTCTGGGAGTTGATGCTAACGCTAGCATGCTAACGTCCCTGTTGTTACTCATTTGAAAAAGTATTTGAACAAAAGAAAAGTGTGTCGAAATGGAGTTAAACTGAGAAACAGTTGACTGATAACAGTGCAGGAACGTAAAATCTGTATGAAAATTTGTTTAATGTCAGCTTTTTCTTTCTGAGCATGAGAGCAGATTACGTTTTTTGTTTTTTGTTTTTTATTTTGAATTGAAGTATTCCTTGTTTTTAATGTTTCGATTCGTTATGTGAACATGACTTGTTATTTAGTAGTTATATGATTTAGTTGGAGACCTCCAGTTCTCTCTGCCTGTAGTTTATTTAGTGAGAAACTCGAACTTTTACCTAAACAATGAGTCAATGAGGACTCCAGTGTCCACCCTCCCGAGTGACCCTTTATTTTTAAACATTTTACTTCTAAGCAGCCAGACTTCCTTCTGATCATAATCATTATTTATTCAAGGTGTTTTGAAGAAACCAGTCTATCAGTTTTCTTTTAGACAATGACTGCTTTGTCACTCATTTCTACCTCACCCTGTTGACACAATG